TCTGTTACTGAAACTAAAAATACCGGAGAGATTGACGCCTTGGAGAGACAGGGTTTGAATGGCGTCTTCAAGGGCTTCTGTGGGGTCCATTCCAAGATCTTCAATATTTTCTTTCACTAATTCATCGAAGGCTTGTTGAGATATTGTGCGAGCGGAGTTCGGTGGGGCCATATTCGCCGTCGACGGCGATCGATTGCTCGGTGCAACTAACCACGAGTCTGAGACGGTGAGAGGGAAATCGCCGGCGGAAGCTGAAGAAGAGAGTGCGGGAGATGCTTTTGGAATTTTTGAATCAAACAGACGTCGGTCCACAGAATATTGGGCTGATTGGCCCAATTTCCTCATGGACAAGCCCATGACCAAATTGGTGAGGGAAATGGGAAAAAATCGTAAAAATTGCATGGGTCGCCCCATTTGGTCGCCCATTTTTTACTTATACCCGTTTTGTTATTCCGTTTGCATCCGTACCTATTTTTTTGTTAAAAGCATTTTAAAAAGACTATTTTTCTCTTCTTTAATAAAAGACTATTGACAAACTGCAGGACAAAAATTTAAGCATGTTTAGGCTGAAGTTTTAGCAAATAAACTAAAAAAACTTCAGTTTGTTTAGACTGAAGTTTCGGAAAAAATCAAGACAAAACTGTAGACTGCGTTACAAAATTTCAGTATGTTTTGGTATGAAATTTTAGCAAATGAACTAAATAACTTAAGCATGCATTAGCAAAAACTCTTTAGAAAATTACATACTACAAGACAAAAATTTATGCATGTTTAGTCTGAAATTTTAGCAAATGAACTAAAAAATTTCAGCATGTTTAGTCTGAAATTTTAGCAAATGAACTGAATAACTTCAGCATGCATTAGCAAAAACTCATTAGAAAATTACATACTACAAGACAAAAACTTAAGCATGTTTAGTCTGAAGTTTTAGCAAATGAACTAAATAACTTAAACATGTTTAGTCTGAAGTTTTAGCAAATGAACTAAATAATTTAAGCATGTTTAGTCTGAAATTTTAGCAAATGAACTAAATAACTTAAGCATGTTTAGTCTGAAGTTTTAGCAAGTGAACTAAATAACTTAAGTATGTTTAGTCTAAAGTTTTAGAAAATGAACTAAATAATAACCTCAGCATGTTTAGACTGAAGTTTCAGATAAAATTCATGGCAAAATTGTAGACTGCAGGATAAATAACTTCAACATACATTAGCATGAACTTTTAGCTTCAATGTGAAACAACTCCATGCTATATTAGCATGAAGTTTTAGCTTCAACATGAAACAACTTCATGCAAGTGTGACTCTGAAGATGAATCTGGACAAGTTTCTGATTTTTTATAAAGTTGTTAAGAGGAGAGGAGAAGATCGTTTTATATCTTATGTCAGGGGTATAATTGTCATATTATTACGGATTTTTTGTGAGATGGCTACCAAATCAATAATTTTTAAAAATAGGATACATGTTAAAAGGTGGCACAAATATAGGGTACGGATGCAAATTCCCCAAAAAAACAGAAATAGTCGTATTTACAACTGGCAATGGAAAAATAACCACAGTTTAAAAGTAATCAAATTTTAGCTATTCTTCATATAAAGTTAAAATCTGAACAAAAGCACTCTTAAAATCCGAAAATATTTTAGCATAATATGCTGGAGTTCGAATTTTTTACATATGAGCTTCCAACATAATATGCTGGAATTTGATAATGTGCTGGAGTTCCATCATAATATGCTGAAAGTTTATATACAGGAGCTCCATAATCCCGTATATTATTCAGAAATTTCTCGTGTACTGGAGTTCCATCACAGTATGCTGGAAGTTTATACGCAGGAGCTCCATAATTTACATACAACTTATATCAATATTTTAAAAGGCTTTATTGGGACTTGCTCCGGAGCGGGGCACTATAAAAATACCCTGAGGCTCATAGGTGGGGCTTAGTTCTATGAGGCTTACGCCCTTAGAGCCTAACTGTGTTCCTGAAAACTCCTAACGCTTACCGTTCGAGGCTTGCCTAATAATTCCTAATGCAAATTCTTTAACCCTAATTAGCACAGTTAGCCTGAAAAATCTTTAACAATGAATGATTAAACTTTTATTTATCTATAGAAATATGAAGATTGAGAGTAACTCAAAATGATGACTCATAGTATTGCATATTTACTAATTAAGAATATCGTGAGGCTGAATATCATTTTAATAGCCAAAACTTACATCTTCACATATTATAGGTCTTTATATCTTAATTCTATATCTCTCAAAATTATCAAACTTTTATTATTTTTCTATTTGAAAGTAATTTTATATTTTCTCATCAGGAGAAATATTTTATTAATATAGTTTATTGATTATTAACTTTTAGAGAGGTTAACTGTGTATTTTGATAATACTTTTAATAAAATATTATAATTTGTTAATCATCTGAAAAATGAGACGTTATAGTTCATGTTTATCTCACAGTAACTTTATCATAATTGTATTGTTATATTTATAATAAAATGCTAGATATTTTAGTTTTTTTAAACTTTTAATGTAGTTTGTATATTTTTTGTGGTTATTATACTATATTTTTAATTTTTTTAATTTTCTTAAACTTTTAATGTATTTTATATTTTTTAATTATTATATTATTAAGTAAAATACCCCGTCTAACTTATGTAACTTGTGTATAAATTCTTTTATACAGAGTTCGGTCAAACATATACAACTCACTTACAACTTGCATATAACTTGTATACAATATATGTTAGTTGTATATATATTGTATATCGTTTGTACACTCGACATGTAATTTGTGTATAATTTATTTATATCTTCTCCTTTTAGTTTCAATCTGGAATTGTCAATTGAGATTTTTAATAGCCATCAATTTTCTTGGTATAAATTTTTTAAATATAACTAAATAGCCATGCAGATTGAGATGTCAGAAGTATTGATTGTTACGCAAATAATTGGTTGAAGTTTGTTACTCCTCAAGATGCCAACATCAAAAACGACAAAAGCAGAATAAGGCCTCCTCCGTTTCATAACCAATGATTAATAGTTCTCAAACTGACACTCGTCTAACACTAATTATGTTATTCATCAATATGAACCTAAACAAGTAATTACACTTCAAGTGCTAGTCCAATAGAGTCCGGAAAATCTACGGGGAGAGAGGCGTCAGAATGAGAGATGGGCGAAAGAAAATGAGGAAGATTGAAATTTAATACATTATTTTATATATAAATGTATAATATAATTAAATAATAACATCTCTTATATTTGACTATAATTATAAATTTTTAGTGAGTTACTTATTTTACATTTTGGCGCTTTATTGCTATATTGTACTATGTTTGTGCTTAATTGAGTTTATTTTATATGTAGGTACTTTGAAGATAAAATTTAGGAGCAAAATATATATTTTAAAGTGTGCTTTGTTGTCACGACCCAAAAGCTAACCCGTCGTGATGGCGCCTATCGCGATACTAGGCAAGCCGACATCTCCAAAATACTTTCAACATTTAACAGAAATGAATTTATATATTTAAAATAACCGGAGTCTTTCATAAAAACGGGCTAAAACCCAAAGCATAAGTGCGAAAAAATAGCCCGACATCGGGGTGTCACTGAGTCATGAGCATCTAGATATCCAGTCTAATAAAATAGTGTCTAAGTATAAGTACAGAAAAGAAGGAAAACATAGAAGGAGGGACAAGGTCCGCGGACGCCGGCAGCTACCTCGTAGTCTCTGGTACTCGATCGCGCACGAACTCAACGACCTCCGTGATCAAATACACCTGGATCTGTACATGAAGTGCAGGGTGTAGCATGAGTACAACCAACTCAGCAAGTAACAGAAATAAATAAGGAACTGAGAAGGTAGTGACGAGCTATACAATTACAATTCATTCTTAATAATTCCAGCAAAGAATAGACATGCTTTCAAATCCGGCAGTTCAAATCAAATCAGTTTCATACAGTTAAAGTGCAGGTAAATCCGGATATAGAATCTTTTAAAAATTTCACGACAATGAAAGATAGCAACTAAGTGCATCAACAAATGAAAAAGAAAGCAAGTACAGCTTCTCAGGGCAACAGTCGCTCAACTCGTCACAACAGCTCAATCACTTGGCTCTCAGCCCTCAGTACTCACACTCAATAGGTACATGCACTCACTAGGGGTGTGCAGACTCCGGAGGGGCTCCTTCAGCCTAAGCGCTATATCGATGCGGCGTGCAACTCGATCCCATAATATATAAATAGCCATAAGGCTCGTTGCGGCGTACAACCCGATCCATATACATACAGCCATCAGGCTTGTTGCAGCGTGCAAACCGATCCATATATATACCTATAGCTCACAGCTCGGCACTCAGGCCCTAACTCAGTTACCAACCTCTCCAGTCTCTCGGGCTCTCAGAAATCAAAAAGATCAGCCCAAACAAAATAACATAGTGTATCAACAAGAATCAAGAAGAGACTGAGATATGATGCGCAAGTAAAACCATGACTNTAAAGATCAGGCCAAACAAAATAACAGAGTGTATCAACAAGAATCAAGAAGAGACTGAGATATAATGCGCAAGTAAAACCATAACCGAGTACAAGACAGCAATTAGCAAATAATTCAACAAGTACGCGACCTCTGCAGGTCCCAACAGTACTATCACATAGTCTAAGAATGATTTCTAACATGATTTGCAGTCAAATTTCTATAACACAGAGAGAACGGGTAATTAACAATAGTCTATTCGACTTTATAGTCTCACGGGACGGACCAAATCACAATCCCCCACGGTGAACGCCCACACGCCTGTTATCTAGCATGTACATCACCTCCAAAGTGGTCACATCATACAAAAATCCGGGGTTTCATACCCTCAGGACCAGATTTAAAACTGTTACTTACCTCAAACCGCACAAAATCCTACTCTGCAATGCCCTTGCCCCTCGGATCAATCTCCAAACGCCCCGAATCTAGCCATAAGTAGTACGATATAATTAATATAAGCTAAAAGAATCAATTCCACAAGAAAAATACGAAATTATAAGCCAAAATCCGAAATAGGCTCAAACCCGGGCCCCGGGCCCACGTCTCAAAATCCGATAAAAGTCACAAAATCAGAAAGCCTAATCACTCACGAGTCTAACCATACTAAATTCATCAAAATCCGACATCATTTGGTACTCCAAATCTCCAAAATCCACTCTCCAATTCTCAAGCCCTAAACCCCCAAATTGCACTTCAAAATCTCTCTAATTAGGTGGGGAAATCAGTGGGGAATCAAAATTTATGATAAAAAATGAGTACAAGAAGCTTACCTCAATAATCCCCTTGAAAATCTTCTCCAGCATCGCCTAACTCCGGGTCTCAAATGGTGAAATAAGACTAAAGTTGCGAATCCTTGATATTTAAACCTTCTGCCCAGACTTTTTGCATC